CTTCCAGCTGAGGAAGCTCAGCCTGGAGCAAATCCGCCTCATGCTGGAGGAGGAGATGAAGAAATGGGCCCCCATCAAGTTCCCAGCCATGAGGGGCAGTGTCAGCGCTTACCACCTGATGGAAACAGGGGTCATCGACAGGGTCCTGTTTGAGAAGGTGCTGGAGGGATCCATCACACCAGAGCAGGTCCTGCACATGGATTCTGTCAGGAAGTACCTCTATGGCTCGGGCAGCATTGGAGGGATTGTCCTTCAGCCTTCCAACCAGAGGATGAGCCTTTACGAGGCCATGAAGCAGAACATCGTGGTGCCAGGAGTGGCTCTGCCCCTGCTGGAGGCTCAGGCAGCCACAGGCTTCATCATTGACCCCGTGAACAACCAGAAGCTGCGCGTGGATGAGGCTGTCAGGGAGGGAGTCATCGGGCCAGACGTCCACGAGAAGCTGCAGCATGCAGAGGGAGCTGTCACAGGCTACAGAGACCCTTTCACAGGCAAGAAGATCCCTCTGTTCCAGGCCATGAAGAAGGGGCTGATCGCAGACAAACAGGCCATGCAGCTCATGGAGGTGCAGGTAGCCACGGGAGGCATCATTGACCCAACGTGTGGCCACTACATCCCCCTGGAGTCAGCCCAGCGACGAGGCTGCCTGGATGAGGACACCAGCAAGGCCCTCTCCAAGCCCAGTGAAGAGCACAGAGCCTTCTGCCTCCCCGACAGCAAAGAGACCATGAGCTACGCCGAGCTCATCCAGCGCTGCCAGAAGGACGACGTCTCTGGCTTCCACCTGCTGCCTCTGGCACAGACAGCTGCTCCTGCCTACACTGAGGAGCAAATCCAGCGGCTCTTCAAAGAGACTATGGTGAAGGAAAAGGGAATTTCCCTCTGGGAGCTCATCCATTCAGGGTATTTCACCGAGGAGCAGAGGAGAGACTTCACGGAGCGGTTCCGGGCGGAGGAGCTGTCGCTGCAGCAGTTGGTGGCTCTCGTGCTCAAGCTGGTGGGGGAGGTGGAGATGAAAGCTCGCACCCAGATCTCTCTGGAAGGCCTGAGGGGCAATGTCCCCGTGGTCTGGCTGCTGGACACTGGGATCATCTCTGAGAAGACCTTTGAAGAGCTGGCTCAGGGCAGAAGAACTCCCGAGGAAGTGGCTGCGATGGAGAGTGTGAAGAGGTACCTGCAGGGCACAGGGAGCATCGCTGGCGTCTTCATAGAGGCATCCAAGCAGAAGATGAGCTTCTATGAGGCCATGAAAAACAACCTCCTCCTCCCTGGGGCCGCTCTGAGGCTGCTGGAGGCTCAGGCAGCCACGGGGTACCTCACTGAGCCCACGACCAACCGGAGGCTCAGTGTGAGGGACGCGGTGAGAGAGGCTGTGGTCGGTGAAGAGCTCACTGAGAAGCTCCTCCTGGCCGAGAGGGCTGTGACAGGCTACACAGATCCCTACACAGGGAGCTCCATCTCCCTGTGCCAAGCGCTCCGGAAGGAGCTGATCCCCCTGGGAGAGGCTGTGCCCTTGCTGGAGGCCCAGCTGGCCACGGGAGGGGTCATTGACCCCATCCACCACCTCCACCTGCCGCTCCAGGCCGCGTATAGGTTTGGCTTCTACGACGAGGAGCTGAACCAAACCCTCTCCCAGCCGAGTGACAGCACCAAGGTCTTTTTTGACCCCAACACCAAGGAGAACGTGACCTATGAGCAGCTGAAGGGTCGCTGTGTCCGTGATGCTGAGTCAGGTCTGTGGCTCCTCCCTCTGTCAGAGGACTCAATGTTCTGTGTGGATGAACAGACCATGAAGGTGCTCAAGTCTGTGACTGTCTGTGTCAATGTGGGGAGGTTCAAAGGACAGACAATGTCTGTCTGGGACCTCCTCACCTCTGAATACCTCTCAGACAGCAAGAGGAGAGAGCTGGTGCAGAAGTACAAAGCTGAGAAGAAGGAAGTGCTGCAGGAAATCACAACAGTCATCACCACCATCATCCAAGAGACTGAGACACAAGGCAAGAAGTTTGCGTTCAAGGGCCTGAGGAAAAGAGTCTCTGCCAGTGACCTCTTCCAGTCCCAACTGATAGACAAAAAAACCCTGGATGAGCTCAACCAGGGGAAGAAAACAGTCCAAGAAGTCACTGCGATGGAATCTGTTCGCAGGTACCTCGAGGGCACCAATTTCATCGCAGGAGTCCTCATCCAGCCGAGCAAGGAGAAGATGAGCATCTACCAGGCCATGTGGAAGGGCATCCTGAGGCCAGGGACAGCCCTGGTGCTGCTGGAGGCACAAGCTGCCACTGGCTACATCATTGACCCGGAGAAGAACAAGAGGTTCTCCGTGGAGGAGGCACTGGGAGAAGGGCTGATCGGAGCGGAAGTGTACGAGAAGCTTCTCTGCGCGGAGAGAGCTGTGACAGGCTACACTGACCCCTACACAAAGGCCCCAATGTCCCTCTTTGAGGCCATGAAGCAAGGGCTGATAGTGAAGAGCCATGGGATCCGCCTGCTCGAGGCGCAGATCGCCACCGGCGGCATCATCGACCCCGTGCACAGCCACCGCCTGCCCGTGGACGTGGCCTACCAACGCGGCTACTTCGATGAGGAGATGAACCGCATCCTCTCCGACCCCAGCGATGACACCAAGGGCTTCTTCGACCCCAACACCCAGGAGAACCTGAGCTACCTACAGCCCAGAGACAGGGCTGTACATGCTGCAGGTGGTCAGGGAAGGAGGGAAGTACTTCTACATTGACGAGGCCACAAAACAGGCTCTGCGCTCCCAGAACCTCCCAGTGAAGGTTGGAAGGTTTAAGGACCAAACAGTTTCCATCTGGGAGGTTCTCTGCTCTCATTATGTCTCGGAGCAGAGGAGGAAAGAGCTGGTGATGCAGTACAAGAGCAAAACCCTAACGCTGGAAGAGCTGATCTCTCTCATCTTACAACTCATTGAGGACACAGAGAGAAGGGCAGAAGGTCTCAAGGTCAGAGGACTCCGGGGGGAGGTGTCGGTGTCAGAGCTGTTTAACTCAGAGATAATTGACAAGAAGACTCTGGATCAGCTGCAGGATGGGAGTCTCACCCTTGCCAACCTCACCAAGAGAGACACCATTCAGAGGTACCTGGAGGGCACTGGAAGCATCGCTGGGGTTCTCCTCCCATCCAGGAAGGAGAAGATGAGCATCTACCAAGCGCTGAAGAAGGGTCTGCTCACAGAGCAGTGTGCACTGGGGCTGCTGGAGGCACAGGCAGCCACTGGTTTCCTCATCGACCCCCTGAACAACCAGAAGCTCTCGGTGGACGAGGCCATCTCCTCGGGGCTGGTGGGCAGAGAGCTGCAGGAGCAGCTGCTGTGGGCAGAGAGAGCCGTGACAGGACACACAGATCCTCACACAGGAGGTAAGATCTCCCTTTTCCAGGCTGTGAGGCAGAAGGTGACAGTCAGGGACCACAGCATCCCCCTCCTCGAGGCCCAGCTCGCCACCGGTGGCATCGTGGACCCTGTGCACAGCCACCGCCTGCCCGTGGCCGTGGCCTACCGCCGGGGCCACCTGGACGAGGACATGTTCCTCTTGCTGACGGATCCAGACCATGGCAGCAAAGGCTACATCGACCCAAACACTCACGAGAAGATCAGCTACAATCAGCTCCTGCAGAGATGTGTCCAAGGCGAGCAGAGTGGCCTGTACCTGCTACAGGTGCTGGAGAAGAATGATGATTACTTCTACATCGATGAGCAAACTAAATCTGCCCTGGTATGCACAAAGGTCCAAGTGTCAGTGGGAAAGTACAAGGGACAAGTGTTATCCCTCTGGGACCTTCTCTGCTCCGAGTACATCACGGAGGAGAAGAGGAAAGAGCTGGTAAAGAAGTACAAGGCAGAATCCCAACACATCCTGCAAGGAATCATTGAGACAATCCTGAAGCTCATTAGAGACAAAGAGGAGGGCAGAAGTGATGTCTGGTTCCAGGGAATCCGGCAGCAAATTACAGCATCAGAACTGCTCAGTGCAAAAATCATCACCGAGGAGACCATGGAGAAACTCCATGAGGGCAAAGAGACAGCACAGGGCATAGCTCAAATGGAGAGCGTGAGGAGGTACCTCGAGGGAACCGGTGTCATCGCCGGTGTCCTGGTGCCCTCCAAGGCCGACCCCAGCAAGCTGGAGAAGATGAGCATCTACGAGGCCATGTGGAAGGGGCTCCTGAGGCAGGGCACGGCGCTGGTGCTGCTGGAGGCGCAGGCGGCCACCGGCTTCGTGGTGGACCCGGTCAGCAACAAGAAGCTCTCGGTGGCCGAGGCCGTGGCCTCG